TTTAAGGAAATTCACAAAGAGGATGTAAAGAAGATATACTTTTTCAAGTACAGGTTTCTAATAATCTAATCATTTAAGTAAAAATTTCCACTTTATATACAAAAACTAATTGGTTTTCTAATCTGCTAAGCCAATCATTAACCAAAACCAAAATTTACCATAAGTAAAAATTGGTTGACAAAATTACATGCTAAATAGCATATATCACAATTGTTAAGTACTTCCTGGCCCACTAAATTAGATCATAAATAAATTGCTAAAATCTATTATTTAAATAAATTCCATGAAATTAATTTAAATCAAATTACCTATAGCAATCTATTTAGTAAACAATGATATACATCTAAATTAAAAATTAATGTAAAAGGTTATAAATCCAATTTTAAACATAAACTCACAGATAGCCTAAATGGCAATTTAGTTCTTCCTAAATTCTTATAGCTCTGAATATTAAGTTAACATACTTTAATATTCCCTATTTTTACTCTTTTAAATTTGATAAAAAAATTTAAAATTTTTGGCTAGTCAAATAAAACTTCAGTTCTTCACACTCAGAAATCTGTTAAACAGGTTTTTGTTACTATAGTTTATATATGTTCAATAGCTATTAATATATACTAAGATTAAAGTTAATAAAAATAAAAAAATTCTAGTCAACATGGATACATGTAATCCTAAAACCCCTTTGCAAAGGCACTAATCCTTTTACATGCTTCCCAACTCCTTATGGTATTTCTTGGGAACTGTTGTGTCAATATCTTGCTTATGTTCATTTATTTTCCTACTATTCTGCAGAATCCGGTGAGAGCTCTGTGCAGCAATCATCCAGCTCCACAGACTCAAATTAAGAAAAGAAAAGGGGGGTATGTGGAGAGTGGTCAGTCTGAGTAAACATGGTGACCTTTAGGCATGTGCAGAAATATGGTTCCATGAGATTCATTTGCGTAGTGGTGAAAGTATTTGCCTATCAAAACGCTAACTGCTCATTGTCAATAATGCAGAGCAGTACCAGGCTAAAGGAAGCCACATGCGTTTATCAGATTTCACCCAAAAAAGATCAGAGAAACTACATGGCACCAGTCTTTTCACATCTTCAGATGATTATCATCCAAAAACAACTGACTTTACATTCCATTTCCTCTTCTCCCATTTTCTGCCCTTTAAAAGAATGAACCTGAAGCCGATCATGGTTCGGATTTTCATCAGAGAAGGCAGGCCTACCAATTCTCACTTTGCTATACTATGTCTTTGTGTGTTTATATTTATGTTTATTTCTAGTCCACAGCATTCCCCCTCCCTCCCCCCCCACCAACTTAGAAAAACATGTTCTGATGAGTGGGTCCTGGCAACATGATATGATTTTTTGATTCTTAAAAATTTGACGAAACATGTTCCATGTCCAAATATATGGTCTATTCTGTAGAGTTTTACATGTGTTGCTGGAAGAATGTGTACTCTGCAACTGTTGGATGAAATATTCTGTAAATTTCTGTTAGGTCCATTTGGTCTTGGGTACAGTTTAAATCAAATGTTTGTTGATTTTTCTGTCTAGGTAATCTGTCTAATTCTGAGTGTGGGTGTTAAAGTCCCGAACTATAATTATATTGAACTCTGTCTCTCTTTAGATCTATAATATTTGTTTTGTATATTTGGGTGCTCCAGTGTTGGGTACATGTGTATTCATTATTGTTATATCTTGCTGAATTGCTCCATGTCATTATGTAATGACCTTCCTTGTCTCTTTTTAAAGTTTTTGACTTAATGTCTATTTTATCTGATATAAGTATAGCTATTCCTGCTAACTTTTGGTTTACATTGTATGGAGTATCTTTTTCCAATCCCTTTACTTTAAGTCTATGTGTCTTAATAGTAAAGTGAATGTCTTACAGGTAACATACAATTGAGTCTTTTAAAAAAATAAATAATTCAACCAATCTATATCTTTTAATGTGAGAATTTATTCCATTTACATGCAAGCTAAATGTTGATCATTTTTTTATTGGTAAGGACATCCTCCTATAATTTTAATTGTTTTTGGTTGTTCTATATTTTCTTTGTTCCTTTCTTCATCTTGTGGACAGAAGTCTGACTACTTTTCCTATTTTTCCAAAATCTTTTCAAAAGGGGACTGGGGAAGTCATGCCCACAAACATTAACAGACCATTTACTTTCTATTAACAGGATTCTTCCTACCTCCTGTCCCTGGCATAGTATCTTTGAGATGTATATTTCAACCAATTAATGTATTCTTTTACTTATTTCTTCCCAAGACAGGGTACTTCCCTTTCCTTAAGATGTAGATTAAGCCTTTCTTTAACTAATCTCTTCCCAAGACAGGGATCTTCCCTTCCAATCGCTGACCTAAGAATTTGTGGAACCCACCTATAACCTACAAGCCCCCGCTTCTACATGTCCCACTTTTTGGGCCAGACCAATGGGAAATCTTTTAATTAAATGTTGTGTGTCAATCTCAAAAGCAAATAAAAGGAACCTCTGTACATGAACACCCCAAGAAAAGGCATGTGTGCCTCTTCTCCGGCCTATGTCACACAGTTGGCTTGGAAATAAACTGCATTAATTATTAATTTTACAGTTGGTTATATTTTTTCCGTCAACAATCTCTTATTTGTCTTTGCCAATTGGTGACTTTCTCTAGTGTTAAGATTTCTTTCCTTTCTCTTTCTGATTTATATATTCACCTTACCAGTGAATTTTATACATTTGTAGTAGTTAATGTCCTTTTGCTTCCAGATTTAGAACTACCTCAAGCCTTTCTTGTAAAACTGGTCTACTGGAGATGAATTCCGTCAGTTTTTGCTAGTCTGGGAAAGCCTTCATTTCTCTTTCTTTACTTTTTTTTTTTTTTTTTAAGAGAGATCTTTGATACAGGGCACATTCACTTGCCAGAGAGAGAGAAACAGAGAAAAAGAAAGCAAGAAATAGTCCCCAAGGGGTATGGCCACGCCACAATCCCTTCTCCTCTCAGGATTTTGGGCACACATTCACGTGCACCTGGCTTGAGTTTCAAGCCAACGGATCTGGGATTCGGACGGCAGTTGGCCATGTGGGAGTCCAACCACATAACCATTGTGTTGGTACCCCTCTCCTTCATTTTTTTTTTGAGAGGTTTTCCGCTATAGGGTGCGTGCGCTCGCCAGACAGACAGAGACATAGAGACAGAAAGCGAGAAATCACCCCCCAGGGGGGATGGTCATGCCGCAATCCCTTCTCCTCCATTCTCCTCTCGGGATCTTGGACACTTACACACACGCGCCCGGCATGAGTTTTAAGCCACCGGGTCCGGGACTCAAACCATGGTCGACTACATGGGAGTCCAGCGACATAACCATTACACTAACTGCTGGTTTCCCCCTCTCCTTCATTTTTGAAGGATGACTTTATGGGGTGCAGTATTCTGTCTTGAAGGTTTTCTTTTTCTATTTCTTTCGGTGTTTTGAATATTTTAATCCCATTCTCTTCTCCTTGTGGCCTGTAATATTTCTGCTGAGAAACCTGCTGATAGTCTAATACTGGTTCCCTTATAAGTGGCTTGATGCTTTTCTCACTGTTTTTAGAATTCTCTCCATTATTAGTTGTTGACAGTTTGATTGTATTATGCCTTAGACAGGATCTTTTTTGCATTAATCTACCCGGAAACTTCTGAGCCTTTGTATTTGAGTGCCTATATATCACTGAAGGCTTGGAAAAATTTCAGCTATTATTTCAAGAAATATTGGATCATTGGGAAAGACATACACATTTTTGAATAGAAAAATATTCCTAATGACCTAAAAGTTTCTATATGCCTCTTTTCATCTTTTTTTCTTCTGGAAGTCTCATAATGCAAATATTTGTTAATTGTGTCCAATAAGACATATAGTCTATCTTCATTTAAAAAAATTATTTTTTCAGTCTGATGGATTATTTCAAAAGACCTACCTTCGAGTTAATAAATTCTTTCTTCTGCTTGATCAAATCTGTTGTTGAAACTCTTGTGTTTTTTACTTCTTTCATTGAATTCTTTGTCTTAATTAGGATGCTTCTATCATCATGGCTCACACTAGGCATGCACAGTTCTGTAATCAAATGTCTCAAATTCTTCACCTGTGTGAAAACTGCACAAGCACAGGAAAAAGCCCTGAATTAAAGCAAATAACACAGTTAGTATGACAGACCTCCTACTGTTAAACATTCATTATCACCTCTGGTAATAAAAATTAACACCTAACCAGTTCTAAATGAAGTTGCTACCTAGCAACCTGCCCACTCTAAAGTCTTTTGGGTGTACTTCCTTTCTAAAATCTTTTCTTTCCTATTAAATTCTATTTTCTACCTAATTTCATTGTGGGTGTGGTTTTATTTTGCACCTAGGGACAGGTCTCTAATTTTAGTGATCTGGACCCAAAAGACCAAGATTTTACACAACGCAGCTCAACACTCTCCCATCATATTACTGGAGCTGCTAGAATGAATGTGGTAAGAAATGCCCTGTGTAGGTGACCACATTGTTCAAATCCCAGCCCTGGTGGCTTGAAAATACATTGAGCACATGTGCATATATGCTCCAAATCCTTCTAGGATGGAGAAATGGAGAAGGGACTAATGAAGTAGGCCTCCATTTTGAACTCCTCTCTACATTGGAAACTTGTTTTCTCCTTTTGCCTAGAGTAAACAGAGTGATTGACACTCCTAGGTCTTTGCTGAATAACCTGAAACTCTACCCTAAGATCGTTAGTGATGTAATCATCAGTAGCCAGACCTTTGCCCTGAGCCATTGTGTTTAAAATAAGGTCACTGAATAACCTGAAACTCTACCTTAAGATGGTTAGTGATGTAATCATCAGTAGCCAGACCTCTTGCCCTGAGCCATTGTGTTTAAAATAAGGTCTAGAGATTATTAACCTGCTCCCTTGATCTGACTTCTGCTAACTGTTTAGTTTAGGATAAGCCACTCCTTCCCCTCATTACCTCCCCCTCCTAGTTCCACTTCCTGGTTTCAGATTACAGCTTGCTTGTAAGCATAGTACATACTACTCCTCCACACAAAACGGACAATGGCTGCTGAGGCTTCCTCACAGATGTTAAAGACAGACCTTAGTTTCACAGATGACCAGGAGAAAGGACTATCTGGTAATGTAATTAAGTTTGAAAGAACAAAAGGGAGGGGATGTTTTTCTTCCACTGAAGAATGATGAAAACTGGATTTCAGGCATTTTAACCCTTGATGTCTATCTCCATAGAAGAGGATATGCTTGGGGAGAATAGGAGTGGGTAGGAGGATAGGGTATAATTGTTACATTAGTTAATTATATTGCTGTGTATGTGCTTAAATAGTTCTGGGACAGGAGAAAGGAACAACGAATTAGATTACATAGGGATGAATAAAACATTTTCTTTGTGTTTATAGTGTTAGTCCTTTATTTTTTTCTAGATCACTGGTAACTTGCGCTACAGCAAGTCACCTTATGATGTTAAATGATAGGTCTTTCATATCCCAAGGCAATGGCAACCTTGGCCTCCAACAACTTTGTAATTATATAATAACAAAAGTTGCCCTTGAAAGGCTAGGACATTGGGTATATAGATCTATGTAACTAATGAAAAGAAATATGGAGATTCAGGAGGTAAGAGGTTTGATCTGCAGATCCTTTAACAATTTTAGTTTGTTGAAAATTTTATGAGAAAGAGGAACACATCATGGGTAAGTGTTTATACTTCAGTCGAGCATAAAGAAAACTTTTTTCTAAACCTCTTTTCCTTTTGAAAACCATTTCTTCTTTTTTTCTTCCTTTTCTTCCCTCAATTTTATTTATTTTTTTGCGTGGGAGGACTGACCATGGTTTGAATCCCAGCCCCAGTGGCTTGAAAAATACACCAGGTGTGTGTTTATACATGCACACATCCTAAGAGATGTAGAAATGGCGGGAGAAGAGTGGTGGGGCCGTCGTGCCCCATTAGAGCAATTTGGGCATAGTCTCTCTTTTTCTCTCTCTGGTGACTACTTGGAAAACTCAGTCTCCATAGAAGAGGATATGTTTGGGGAGAATAGGAGTAGATGGAAGGGTAGGGTGTAATTATTACCATAGTTATTATATTTCTGTGTATGTGCTTAAATATTTCTCAGGCAGGAGAAAAAAAAACAATGAATTAGATTACATGAAGACAAATACAATATTTTATTTGTGCTTATAGTGTTAGTATTTCCAAAAATATTTTTTGGGAAAGTATTTATATTAAACAAAAAAGTAAGTTGTTAATGTTAAGCAACTCAGTCAAGAACTTGCAACTGAAACTAAATATTTAACCAATCAGAGTGTTACACGGTGCAAATGTGGAGCTTCTTTTTGAAAAATGCAACTTGTTTTTGTAAGTTAAGTAACGTTTTGAACCGTGAAACTGAAAGCTAAAATTAGACAAGTTAGAGTGTTTTTTTTTTCGTTTTCATAGATAGTGAAATTTAATTGTATTTTGTTCAGAATATACTATAAAAGCCATATGAATTTGGAGGATCCATATGAAATATCTAAGAGGAATAAATAAAGAGAGAAATGGAGCAAAAAACAAAGGCAGATATTAGGAAGAACTAGGTATAAGGAAAAAATAGGATAAGGGAATAGGGATTTTTAGAAGCTCAGTAAAGATGAAAGAGGGATTTAATGGAGGATTTGTAAAACTTCATAGAGTTCTTTGAACTGTATATATAGACAACTATGTTATGCATAAATAAAAGCACTTTCATGTCTTCTGTCCTGTATGACTTTTGTTTCTTTTTCTTGCCATGTCAATCTAGTTGGAACTTGAGTGAAATGTTAAGTTGAATGGGTGAGAATAGACCTCCTTGCCTTGTTCCTAACAGATGGAGAAAAGGTTCATTCTCTAACCATTGAGTATAATGCTAGTTGTAGTTTTTCTACAGATGATGTCTATTAGAAAGATGAAGGTCCTTTAATTCCTGATTTGTTGAAAGTTGTTATTATAGATGCATATTCAATTTTTGACATGCTTTTACTGCATTTAAGGAAATATTGATGTTTTCCTTTCTTTTATTCTGTTAGTATGGTAAATTGCATTCATGTATTTTCTGATGTTTCTCTCCATACTTCTAACTAGATGTCTTACTATGGAGGTAAATCTACATTGTTTATATGCTGCTTTATCTTGATTTTTACTCTCATTTCTTACTCTCTCATTAATTTTTCTTGCAATACTTGGAAGATTCCTGTGTGCAGGAAGTTGGGATTCTGTTTCCCTTACCCTTTAGTCCATAATTGCCATTCATGGATCAGAGCCTTTTGTGACAGGGGCTGGCAGAAGGAGAGTACAGCTGAGCTTACATGGTATTCTATGATAATATATTATCACTAATATTTTCTTAAGATCTTCATGAGACTGAGATACTTATATATATATATTTTTTTTGAGAGATTTTCACTGTAGGGCGCGTGCGCTCGCCAGACAGAGAGAGACATAGAGACAGAAAGCGAGAAATCACCCGCCCAGGGGGGATGGTCACGCCGCAATCCCTTCTCCTCCATTCTCCTCTCGGGATCTTGGGCACGCACGCACACGCGCCCGTATATATATTTTTTGAGAGGTTTCTGCTATAGGGCGCGTGCACTTGCCAGACAGAGAGAGACCGAGAGACAGAAAGCGAGAAATCACAACCCCCCCAGGGGGGATGGCCCCACCGCGATCCCTTCTCTTGCATTCTCATGTTGGGATCTTGGGCACGCATGCACACGCGCCCAGCGTGAGTTTTAAGCCACTGGGTCCGGGATGCGAACTGCTGTTGACTACATGGGAGTCCAGTGACATAGCCATTGTGCTAACTGCTGGTCCCTTATATTTGTTTTTCACAGGCAAAAATCTCCAAAAAAAATGTCTAAGAAGTACATCTGCTGACAAGCTCATCAGGATTTATTGCAACTTCTTAATGATTCTCTCCCTGTTTCTAACTGTGGTTGTACTCGCTATTCTTTTATCAGGTTAGTTGCTTGTTCTCCAAACTGTACGATGTCCTCCACACATTTATAATGTCTATAAATATTGATTGATCTCCATTGTGTAGGCACCGTATGAAGTGCTTGAGATCTATAAGAGAACAAATCACACAAAGTATCACTGCTCTCACGGAAGTTATATTCTAGCAGGAAATCAAGGTCATAAAAATAAGGGTAAGAGTGAAACAAGTTACACATAGGATAACCAAGGTCAGCCTCCTTGGGAAGATGAACTTGCAACAACTTCTTGAAGAAGATGAAGGAGCAATATGGCTACCTGGGGGATGTTTTCTAGACTTAGAAAAAATAGAGCAAAACCTTAAAGAAGAATCTCTCACTTGTCGGAGACACAGAAAGGAGGATGTCATAGCTGAAGCAGACTGAGAGTAGAGGAGTAGTAATATGATAAGGGATCAAGAAGGTCCTTTTGCAGGTCATTTAAAGACTTCCATTTCTATTTTAAGTAGAGTGGGAAAATTGGAAGGATTTCTAGGAAAATAATGTAATAATCTGATTTTTATCGTAAAATAATCATTGGACTATAATAGTGAGAATTGATTGCTAGGAGACAAGGGTTAAAGCAAGCCTACCTACTTGAGAAATCTTGTAGAAATCTAGTTGAAAGATGATCATAACTTAGATTTGATGATAATATTGTAAGTGGGGCATGGTAGTCAGAATCTGGATATTTTGAAAGCTGAGCCAATAGTATTTTATATCGGATTAGACATGAAGCTTTAGAAAGAGTTACATCCAAGGTAACTGTCAGGATTTTCTCTTGAGCTGTGGAGAGAATGTAGTTGCCATCCAGTGATAAGAGAAGGGCTGTAAGTATGGGGATTCTCCGATGGAGCTATTTCCTTATGTGTCCTTTGCCCAACCAGAATTGCTATTTATTAAAGAACAAAGCAAGATCTCTACTTGAAGTGTTTTCAAGCATATCCTCTGGACTTAAGAGTTTTTGTCTTCTACTTAAGTGCATTGGGATGCACAAAAGTTTAGAAGAACCATACATTCTAAATAAATAGATAAATAAATAAAATCTTCATCTTTTGTATAAAGAGGCAATAGTTCCTTGGCATTTCTTGGCACATTTAAGGAAAGCTCAGGAAAAGTAACTTGACATTAGTGGACATTGTTACATGCATTCTAATTATATTAGTGGCCTTCATACATTTGTTCCTGTAAATCCTAAAATGTGACCAAAAAATTAAAAAAACTAAGTATCTCCTGGCAAATTTTTTTTGGAATTACCTAATATTTTCATCAGATATTGAAATAATTACAAAAGATATAATTTCCTGTATATTGTTAATGCCATTTTAAAAAATATTTTGAAGAATTATTTATTTTATTTTATTTTATTTTATTTATTATTATTAGTCTTTAGTTTGATCAGAGGCAGAGAGAGAGATAAAAAGGGAAAATGAGAAAGCAAGCTGCCAGGTCTGGGACTTGAACCATGGTCAGCCATGTGAGTCCAATGCCTTTAACCACCATGTCACCTGCCAGCCCCTTATTTTTTTAAAATAATTATTTTATTTTATTTATTATAAATGCCAATATTTTTAATTAATCTGTTACATTCCTTCAGATGTATTCAATACCTATTGGAATATGAATCCTGTTGCAGCTTGATTCTCAACATTACCTATTTTAAAAATGCATGAATCAAAACTTCCTTGACCTTGGAAAATTTTACTTTGTTCGTTTTCTTCAAATGCCTGTTGACTCCGTATTTCTACTCTAGAATTTTATCACAGCGTGGCATGGAATCCCTGTGTATCCTTATATCATTTATCTTTTCTAATTTGATTTTACACATATATGTGTGCGTGTGAATATATATATAATCGGAAAACTACAGCAAGACTGATGTTTTAGTATCAAGAACAATATTTTGAATTGTGGTTAGTTTGGTTTCGTCCCCTGGAGGTTTTGTATCCCCTCAAAAATGCCTGGTAGTAAAACCCAGGTCAGATAAAAAGTTCGCCTTTTCTTTTGTCAAGAGAAAGTTCTAATATGAATGATATGGAACAAGCATCTACAAGATCCTAGGAAATATTACTAGAGCGCTATGGGATGTGATGCTTTGGAAATTAATGTACTTGTAACCATTAGTGTCAATGTACACTTCAAGATGGAAGGGGTGCATATGCTCATCTTGAAGAGCACCAAACCAATAACTATTGTGTTTGAGACAAGAGTCTTAGTGATGCATAGGGAAACACAATTGTATATACATACTTAAAAATTGCCCTCCAGCAGGTAAGCAGAAAAATTGAAAAAAAAAAATGTATTATAATGCACTGTGTTTGTCTAACTTTTAGAGAGAAAGACAAAACTGGACATAGAGCATTCAGTCTATGCTGTGTGCCCAGAGGGCTGGATAGGACATGGAATGAGGTGTTTTTATTTTTCTGAAGACATAAGGAAGGCTGGATAGGATTTGGAACGAGGTGTTTTTATTTTTCTGAAGACATAAGGAATTGGACATTCAGCCAGACCTTCTGTGCCTCATTAGAAGCTGAACTTGCTCGATTTGAAACCCTGGAAGAATTGGTAAGAACCGTTGTCTGCTGTATACTTAGCTCTCTGAGGTGGGTGGGCTACGCAGTTGAAACTAAAAGACGAGGAAGGCTCCCATCCCAGGAAGAAGTGGGGCATGAGACGTGTGCATATTAGTGTCCAAATTTGTTGAGGATGAATTCTCTACCTGGAACTCTGTGAGACGTTTTGGAGATTTAGAGACTTTTTTCCCATGTCATTCTCATAGTTAACCTGAGAGATTAGATGTACTATTCCCCTCCACTAAAAAATAATGTAATCATATAATCAGGTGTCTAAATTGAAAGTGGGCATTATTAATACACAGGCAGGGACTGTGTATTACAAGACCAGGGACTTGCCCAGCCAAATGGGGATATATGGTTACTATAAATAAAGTCATTTTGGATCAAAGACACTAAATGACTTAAACTGAGAACTGGGCACTAGGCTAACACCGAGGTCTAATTATACTCTGCTGCCATCCTAACAGAGAAGGCTGCAGAGAAAACAGATTCAAAAAATATCAGAGAATGGGACCAGCAGTAGTGTAATGGCTATGTCGCTGGACTCCCATGTAGTCAACCGCAGTTCGAGTCCCAGACCCGATGGCTTAAACTCACGCCGGGTGCGTGTGCATGCATGCTCAAGATTTTGAGAGGAGAATGGAGGAGACAGGATTGTGGAGTGGCCATCCCTCCTGGGGAGTGATTTCTCGCTTTCTGTCTCTCTCTCTGTCTCTGTCTGTCTGGCGAGTGCACATGCCAGAGGAAGAGATATATGTTTCTACATGTTTTACAATAGAATTTCCTGAAACGATACAAAGGCCCTTCTGACCATTGGATTGGCCTTAGCAGAGAAACTTCACATCACGTTTGGAAGTGGACAGACAACACTGTGTGCAATATTTCGTAAGTTTAGATTCTTCTTTTCTTTCTAATATGTTTGTGTGAGTTGGGTTTATGGAACGTGAAATGTCATCTCATGAAAAACTTACTGCACCACGAGGTAGAAAATGTAACTTTGTTTTATGCATTGCCATGCCCTTTGGAAAATATAACTTATGATAATTTCCGTGGAAATCTTTAATCTAATGATGGTGTATGACGTAGTTCTTGCACTTCCATCCACTGAAGTAAAACTTTCCTTTGCTGAAATCTAGATTTAGAATGCAGGTAGTTCAGGGCCAGCACCATGACCTATTGGTTAAGCAACCCAGACACCATGTGGTTGACTGCATGACTCAGTCCTAGTCTTGAAGGCTTAAACACGCCAGGTGTATGTGCATCTGTGCCCCAAGTCCTGATGACGTGCAGAAATGGAGAGGGGATTGCAGCATGACAGTGCCGCACTGTGGGCTGCTTCCTCCCTCTGCCTCTCTCTGGCAAGCACATGTGCTGGCCAATTAAGAAAAAAAAAAAAAGAGAGAAGAGAGAAAGAATAAAAGAATGTAGACAATTGATGCACAGCTACAGTTCTAAAGTCCTAAAAAGCCACTGAAAACCTGCCATGCCACGAGCCTTAAATTCACCTCTTTAACTATTGTATCCACTCGTAAAAGGAATATGCCTAGGGAACCTGTGGAAATAAATCTCTTCTAAAGTTTTATCACCAGGAATGGGAACCTAGCAAGAATTGCTTATACTGCGAACATTCCCATGGAATATTTTAAATGTAACCATTTCATTGATGCAATAAGATGTAGGGGCCCACTCATTCCTGCCAATCAAAACTAAGCTGTTTTAGAAATTCACGTAGTAAGCAATTTAAACAATTTTTTTTTTACATATTTATGAAACAGTTCAGGAAAAGATTGAAAATAAACTTCACTGAAAGCCTCCTAGGGTATCAGTTCGTGTGAGTATGTTGCAAAAAAACAGACACTGAGGAATAAAAAATGGTACTCACGGGAGAAAAGAAAACTCTATTGTGCCAGCGGGCACGGAGGAGCTTACACTCTGAATCTCTGGCCCCAGCTGAGTGTTGGACACCATATTTTATGGGTGAATTGGGGAGAGGCAATTTCAGCATGCTTGGAGAGTCCTATCAGGGAAGGGGCTCAGTGTCTGCCCTAATACAGAGCTGGCAGACAAGCAGGAATTCCAGCTTGCTGAAGGCCTTCAGCGGCTCAACAGTTCAGCGGAGAAGCAGATAGCTCTTGGGGGAACAGAAAGCCCAGACAGCTATCAGCCCTGGGTTGCCTCAAGGTTGTTCACAAGTTCTTCCGTATCAGAACAGAAGGTTCAGGCAGTTATTAGCCTGGGGTTGCTCCATATCAAGTACGACCATGAGCACCAGTTAAGTACGAAATCAACAATAGATGATTTGGTATGGATGAATGATGAACTTGTGATAGTAAATCAAGGACTTGAGAATTAAAAAAACAAATTACAAAAATGATGTTTATTGTTATTTTACTGTTATCTTATTTTCCTTTAAAAAATGTGGAGTGGAGATGTCCAACCTATGAATATTTAATATTTTTGTGTTTGATTTTAGGTTTCCCATCAAAGGAGTTGGAGAATGTGCCTACCTGAATGACAATGGAGTCAGCAGTGCCAGAACATATACAGACAGGAAATGGATTTGCAGCAAGCCAAACAGCTGTGCCAACAGCTGCCAGATTATTTCTCACTCTATGTAGAATTTTCCAAGGCACATATAAAAGATGCATTGTAATTTGTTATATACAGTTGCTATTTCTTTATTTAAAATTTTTTATATTTGGTTTTTGTTAGAGGTCACATGTGCTCACAGGAAACAGAGAGAGAAAGAGAGAGAGAGAAAGTGCTAATCACCTCCCCCCCCCCAAGGGAATGGCCATGTTGCAAATCCTTCTCCTCCATTCTCCCCTCAGATCTGAGGCATGCACACAATGTGCTCAGTACGTTTTTGAAGCCACCATTCTGGGATTCAAACTTAGCAGTTGGCCTTAACTTCCACACCATCTGCTAGCCCCATGTTGCTGCTTTTTTTCTTAATCTACCATAAATATTACCAGCATGCATCCATTATAAGTGTTGATAGCAAATATGCAAACTATCAAAGGATGGCATAATTTATTCTAGGATTACTATAGATACATTTCCTGTCTGTATATGTTCTGGCACTGCTGACTCCATTGCCATTCAGATAGGCACATTCCCCAACTCCTTTGATGGGAAGGATTTGAAAGAGCATGATCCTTCAATATTTTTTTTGTTATTTATTTAATTTTATTTATTCGCTCATTTAATTTTTTGACCAGAGAGAGACACAGAGGAAGAAAGAGAGAGAGGGAAAGTGAGAAAGGAAGCCACCAGGTCCGGGACTCGAACCATGGTTGGCCATGTGGGAGCATCCAGCACCTTAACCACCACGCCACCTGCTGGTCCCGATCCTTCAATATTTTTGACATGAATCAATATTTATATATTTGAACCCAAAGTACAGTCAGCCTTCCATAACCATAGGGGATTTATTCTAGGATTACTATAGATACAAAAATCCATGGATGCTTAAGTCTTTCGCATAAAAGTATTATATTAAGTCATCAGGAAAGTCATGACTATTTTTTTCTACGTTTTTCTATGCCAAAATGTGTCATGACAGTCCCTATGACCCAATAGTATTTCATATAGTCTATTCTCCAGTATACTATAAATCATCTCAATATTACTTATATTTCCTAATATAATTCAAATGCTATGTAAACAGTTGTAATAATTTATATTTGTATTATTTTTCTTACTGTTCAAGATTGTTCAGTCAATCTGTGATTGATTGAATCTGCTGATGCAGACCCCATAGCTAAGAAGAGCTGACTGAGGACCAGTAGATGGCATACTTGTTACATTTCTGGACTCCCATATAGCCAACCGTGGTTCGAGTCCCAGATCTGGCAGCTTGAAATTCACACTTGGCATGTATGTATGCATGCCCAAAATCCCAAGAGGAGAATGGAGAAGAAGGGATTGTGGAATGGTCATCCCCTCTAGGGGGTGATTTCTCACTTTCTGTCTCTCTGTCCCTCTCTGTCTCTCTGGCGAGCATGTGTGCCCAATAGCAAAAATCTCCCTAAAAGAAAAAAAAATGACTCTTGGGCTAGCTCCATGACCTGCTGGTTATGAGAGCTGGATCCCACAGGACTAATGAAGAGGTTCGAATCCTGGATCTGGCACCTCAAAAAGCATGCCAGGCATGTGTACATGTGTGCCACAAACCCCAGTAGGATGGAGAGAAGGGTTGCAGCATGACCACGCCCATTTGTGAGGCAGTTTCTCTTTCCTCCCTCTGTTTCTGTCTCTGACAAGTTCACTCTGGCAAACTACAAAACAAAACAAAACGAAACAAAACAAAACAAAACAAATGAACCTCATGCAAATAAAAGATCAGCCTGTGCCAAGATGATATATGTACATTAATAGCATTGCATCCATTATAAGTGTTGATAGCAAATATGCAAACTATCAAAGGATGGCATAATACAAGGATTTGAAAGAATATGATCCTTTAATATTTTTGGCATGAATCAATATTTATATATTTGAACCCAGAGTATAGTCAGCCTTCCGTAACCATTTATTCTAGGATTACTATAGATACAAAATCCATGGATGCTTGTCTTTCACATAAAAGTATTATATTAAGTCATCAGGAAAGTCATGACTATTTTTTTCTATGTTTTTCTATGCCAAAATGTGTCATGACAGTCCCTATGACCCAATAGTATTTCATATAGTCTATTCTCCAGTATACTATAAATCATCTCAATATTACTTATATTTCCTAATATAATTCAAATGCTATGTAAACAGTTGTAATAATTTATATTTGTATTATTTTTCTTACTGTTCAAGATTGTTCAGTCAATCTGTGATTGATTGAATCTGCTGATGCAGACCCCATAGCTAAGAAGAGCTGACTGAGGACCAGTAGATGGCATACTTGTTACATTTCTGGACTCCCATATAGCCAACCGTGGTTCGAGTCCCAGATCTGGCAGCTTGAAATTCACACTTGGCATGTATGTATGCATGCCCAAAATCCCAAGAGGAGAATGGAGAAGAAGGGATTGTGGAATGGTCATCCCCTCTAGGGGGTGATTTCTCACTTTCTGTCTCTCTGTCCCTCTCTGTCTCTCTGGCGAGCATGTGTGCCCAATAGCAAAAATCTCCCTAAAAGAAAAAAAAAAAACTAAAAGAACAGTTGACTGTAATTGATATCAGCAAACTATTGGGTCGCTGGAAAAGTCATGATGCATTTTTGTATAGAAAAACATGTCACGACTCTTCTGATGACCCAATACAGCTCTATGAGCATACATAAAATCTTTCTTTTACAAACAGTCCCAGCTCTATGACCATACATAAAATCTTTCTTTTACAAACAGTCCTTGCTGTCCACGCTCAGGGCCCTAAAATTGAGTGACAGCTGAAACCATGCAAAATTGTGTTAATAAGGAAAGAGAAAAATTAAAATAGGCCTGGCACCTGTAAACAGTTTTCTTAGCACATACAGAGTTCTCTTACGAAGTTCAATTACAAATATAAGGAAAAATTTAAAAGTATGAAAACAACTTATTTTGTATTCTGTAATTTAAAACATCAGAAAGTAAATTTTATACCTATGAATAAATAGCATGGTTTATTTAATTAATTATTGAATTTACAATTCTGATGTTATCTTATATCAAATCACAGAGAGTTAATTATGTGAAATCTTTATGTATTCAATGCCTTAACTCACTATTGACAGATGATTGTTTAAAAATAAAATACTTGACTTTTTTTTATCACATAAGCTACACTGTACTGAAGAGTCCCAAAAAGGACGAAATAACAATTTACAATGCACCTTTTCTTATGTGCCTTCCTTTTCCCACTTTGTTATGAAAATGTCTTGATAGTCTATCTGAGTCACAGTAACTGTTTAACAAGGTGTTTTTCTATTATTGCTACATGGAAAAATAGTGAAATTAACAGCGGTAGTTCTGTCAGTGTGGGAGTTTCTCGTTGATCCTGCTACCACCAGCAGTAGGTCAGTGAGCTGCTTATATCACTTTCTAAGGCTTCGGTGGAAATCAGAAATGTGGAATCAACTATTCAGAGCACATGGGGGAAACCTCTCTTCACAAGAATGAACCTGTAAAAGTACATGGTATGACAGAAATGATCTATGTAATTTGGGACTTACCTGTTCATTCCCCTTAAGTCCATTCTGGTGTACCCTTTATATTTTAGCCAGACTGATCATATAGTACTATGAAATATGATTGGGTCATTCACTTCTTGAAACTTTTCAGTGGTTCGCTCTTTGCTCTCACTGTACTACTGCCCCTAGCGGTGCTCAAGGTCATACCCATGCTTTCCCTTCCATCTTTTCTCGGTCATTCCCTTCATACCTCCTGTCTCTCTAACCTTCACACACGCACACACACACATACAGACAGCAAAAAAAAAAATTTACAAAGAAAGAAACAGAAATTTGATACCAAGTACATTTTCTGCTATTTCCAGTTAGGATACAGAATGCTAGCTTTTGGAGGGACCCCAGAAGATGCAACTTGTCAATCCAGAGAGTACACAGAAGTTCCAGTGTTCGTGTCCATTGATAATTGTACTCAGATAGCTGTTTTAGCAATTACAGAAGCAATCAGAACACCGCCATCCAGGAGTGGTGGGGATTAAGGCCACATTGGTAGCAGCAGTTCCAAAACCCTAAACAACAGTGAAGAAGGTGAGGATAAAGAGGATCAGCTTTGGCTGTGGCAGGTGAGCAGAGAGCTGCAGACACAGAACTGCAAGAGTCTGGTCCACTCATTCTTGCTTTTTTTTTTGAGAAGTTTTTGTTATAGGGCGTGTGCTGTCGCCAGACAGACAGAGACAGACAGAGACAGAGAGATAGAAAGCGAGAAATCACCCCCCCCAGGGGGGATGGCCTTCTCCTCCATTCTCCTCTCGGGATCTTGGGCATGCATGCACACGCGCCTGGCATGAGTTTAAGCCACCGGGTCCGGGACTCAAAACGCGGTCAACTACGTGGGAGTCCAGTGACATAGCCATTACGCTAACTGCTGGTCCCTACTTGCTCTTTGTTTAATCATCACTTTCCACAGATGTGCTTTGTGATCTTTAGGTTGGGTTATATTTCCTCATCCCTCTGTTGTCATAGCTGATATTTCCCTAATCTGCCTATGGTTGTATCCCGTTGCCCTTACTGCAGTTGGTTCCTTCCCAGGCAGAGTGCAACTACAGGCAGGAAAAAGCCATTGTGACATTTTCTTCATTATATCCTTAGCATTTTGTGTGAGCCCTGGTAGACGGGAGGGGTTCAATTAGTATCTATTAAATAAATTCATCTCCTTGGATATATTTTTCTGTTTTTCTTTATGTTTAAATCATATTTACGCTTAATAGTTTGTGGCTAGTTTGCTTAAAAACATGTTTTTTTTTTATTTTTGTACCATGGACTTAGTAGACTTTTAAGTTTCTTGGTTTTCAATCAAAGCAAGGAAAGCAATGACACAAACTTTTCTGAAAATATTCTGGAAATATTTAAGATAAAGAGTACCTACCCTATAGCACAACAATTGTAGCTATATAGTAGTCTTCAAACAGTTTATGGGAAATGTGTATTATAAAAAAAAACTATGCATGGATTTCAAAGACTTGAACCAAAATAAGCTACTACTTTAATCCCATTTTTTCATGAAATTTTTGAAGTCTCTTCATATCTACACACTGAGATTGGCATTAATTATAATAAAGTTCTGATTATGACATAAACTGGAAATAGATTCTTTTTTTGGAGTTTTTTTGCTATAG